GAAATTGAGGCTGACAGCACAACACCACAAAGTTTGAATCGCTAATACATCAAATGTATTCAAAATGTTGCTTTTGATCTGTTTGGAACAAAGACAAAAAAAATCAAACCCCAAACTCCATTATATAAATTGTGTTTTTCAGCTCATTTTTAAATATAAAACTTTTCTTAGATTCCACTTGAGGTTGTCTTTCCTTTCCAATCCAGAGAAGACTAATACTTGTGGTATTGTATTTAATTTCATCCAGTTTGTTTTTGTCACCAATTATTAATTATATATATTCAATCACCTTGAAAATTGATATCTATGACTTATATAAATAGAATGTTAAATCTAATGGTTAGTTTTTGAAAAAATTCATTAGAGGATAATGTTTTGAAAGTTGGATTGAGAATCTAATTTTTTTGAGAGTTGAGTTTAATGTGTGTCATCGTCTATTTTTTTATTTTTAATTAATAAAAAATTATTTAAAACTAAAAAAAAGAAAAAAGAATATATAGCCATACCAAATAAAACCTAAAATTGGCAACTTGTTAAGTATAAAATTTTAAAATTAATAACTAAAATTCCATTTAATATGGTTGTAGTTTTTTATTTTTGATTTTTTGGTTGCCAAAATTAAACAATTGAAAAAAAATTAAAATGCTAACTTATTGAGTATAAATTTTTAGAACTAATACTAAAAAGTAAGAGCTTAATTTTTTTTTAATAAAACTTGATAATTTTATTAGAGAGTTTTTTAATTTTTTGAAAAAATAAAAAGAATACAATCATATTAAATAAATCTTAATTTTTTTATAAGAAATAACTAATTTTTGTTATTTAATATAATGTCATTCAAATTTTTGCAACAAAAACAAAAAATTAATAACAACGTTATTAAATAGCCTTAACTTTTAAGAAAAAAAAAGCATATATATGTTTCCTTTTTTTTTTTTCCCTTAAAATATATAGTTTCAATATGTTACCTAACCACTAATTAAATCAAATCATGAACTCTTTATACACATGTTTGGGTGTATTTATTATATTTTTGGTATTATTAACCTAAAAAATAAAAATTGATATTAATTTTAACAATTGTCTAATTAAATTCATCCAATTAATAGTGATGCTAAAATTTATATCAATTTTTATATTTTTCTATATAAATTAAGAGAATAGTTTATATGGTTAGTCCTTACTCCTATAAAAATATTGGAGTTTTAACTTAAAAAACAATACTTTTTAATGAATACTTTCAAAAATAAACCTTTAAATTAATATTCTATTGCTATATATTATACATATTAATTTTTAAATTGATTTAACATCTATAATTAATTAATTAAAATTTTGTATTTTTTAATATAT